CAAAAAACTCCGAGAGTTTGCACGTGATAAGCTCTCCATATTCCAAGAATTCTTGTGTGATAAGCCTAGAGCAAAGTCCTGATGCTTTTATAATCTAGTATTGTAGAAAGACCTTACGGCATATTGTTAAAGTATTCTGCGGCATACCGATATGCATAGCACGCGAAGGCCGGCGCTCAGTGCCTGCAACTTAGGTAAGAGCACGATCCCAGGGCACGGCACGCATGCCTACAAGCATAGCTATCTTGTTTGTATCTGAGGCTTCTTTTAGAAATGGCAACCACTGATACTGGACGCTCGCTCCTAGACCTTAAGACATTTTGGCCCTTTACAATGCCATCTTTCTAATTGCTGCGAGGTCTGTAGGGGTCGTAAGAACTGGCTGAGACAACATCTTGACCCGCAAAAGGATCCCTACTAGAATCTTCAGCTCTGCCCTTTACATCTGAGCGTTGGATAATGTAAATTATCTGCAAGCTTCCCTTATGCCAGCCATGAGCGGCTTCTAGAAGCCCTCAGATCCTCGAATAATTCATATCAAGAGCATCTTTCGACCTACATTGAATGTGATAAGTGGTAGTACAACATTTTCTGGTATCGAGAGCACGGGCCAGGCCATAAGCGAACTCCTGGAATTTTCTTCACCAAAAAATTCCGGGAGTTTTCATGTGACAATGCTTCATAAGCGAACTCCTGGAATTTTCTTCACCAAAAAACTCCGAGAGTTTGCACGTGATAAGCGTAGAGTTTTTGGATGACAGGCATGCAGAGTTCTGAATTGGCTGCAAGAGTATAAATTGCTTCAACTGCGACATGGAATAAGATTTGGAGCGTAGCGGAAGTACTACGTCGCAGGCGTAAGTATTACCCCTCGAGGGTAGGGAAAACAGGGGGTTTAAAGTGGAAACTAAACTTTTGAGGCACCCTCGAGGGGTAATACTTAGGCCTGTACCGTGGTATAGTAGTATGTCCCTATACTTAAAAAAATACAAGAGTTTCCACGTGGTGAGCATAGCAAATTCCAAGAGATCTACTTTGACCCATCTGATGCGTGCTAGCCGCACGAGTATACGGACTACATTGTTTTAATCGCGGCGTGCAACAGAACTTGAAGCGGGTCTGACGATGATCCGCTAGATAGTAGCCCAAAGAGCAGTACGGAAGGCCAGGAATACAGAACCGCAATTAAGAAGGGGAGCGATACGAAGACGATGTCGGGATGCAGCTAAGCATATCACCAAGGATATCAAGGACACAGCTGGAAGCTCGCAATTGGGAACGGGGTTGAGCAATACGGAAACACTGTCGGGATGCTGCTAAGCATATTACCAAAGATACCAGGGCCACCAAGGACACAGCTGGACGCTCGCAATTGGGAAGGGGGTTGAGCAATACGGAGACACAGTCGGGATGCTGCTAAGCATAACACCAAAGATACCAAGGCTATCAAGGACACGGCTGGACGCTCGCAATTGGAAGGAGGAGCAATACGGAGACAA